AATAGATTAGATTGTTTGGAAGATAGAGAGTTTCAGGCAATGATGACAAAGTATATAATCTTGAAAATAAATTTGTGGAGAAAAGATCTTAAGAGACCATGAACAGTACTTTCAAGAAATCTTTATAGGGATAGATGAAGGCTCTGAAGTACAAACTAAAGGAATGTATAATCTTTTCAATGAAATACAAGGAGGGTCTTAGAATAATACCAAGCTCTAAAAGAAAATGGATGCCAAGAATACTATTTTCAGCAAAATTAAGCTTCATAACTGAAGACATAATAAACCTTTCATGATAAACAAAAGTTAAAAGAATTCACAACTAGGAAGCCTGTCTACAATACATATTCAATAAAGTATTTCATGAAGAAGAAATGGAGAATAAGAATTAAAACCAGCATAAGGGAGAAACTACACTAGAAGAATAGTCAAGCAAAGGAAAATCAATTCAATGTAAAAATTAAAAATAAATCCAAATGACAGGAAATAAAAATCATCTCTTAATAATAACACTGAATGTTAATGAACTAAACTCATCAATCAAAAGACATAGGCTGCTGGGCACACTGGTGCAACACCTGTAATCCCAGCAGCTCAGAATGCTAAGCAAGAGGATTGCAAGTTCAAAGCCAGCCTTAGGAAAAGTTAAGCAACTCTGTGAGACCCTGTCTCTAAATAAAATACAAAATAGGGCTGGGGATGTGGCTCAGTGGTCAAGTGCCCCTGAGTTCAATCCCTGGTACGTGTACACACACACCCACACACACATACACAGACATAGACTGGCATACTGGATTAAAAAACAAGACCCAACAATATGCTGTCTTCAAGAGACTCACCTCATAAGAAAAGGCATCCACAGATTGAAGATAAAAGGATGGGGAAAAAAACATGTCTCTCACATGGATCTAGTAAATAAGCAAAGGTTTCTATCCTATCCTCATATCAGATAAAGTAGACGTCAAGCCAAAATTAATCAGAAGAAACCAAGAAGATCATTTCATACTGCTTAAGGGAATAATACAACAATAGGAAATAGCAATCATAAATATTTATGCTCCAAACAATGGAGCACCTATATACATCAAACAAACCCTTCTCAAAATTCAGAATCAGACCTCAACACAATAATACTGGGTGGCTTTAACATGCCTCTTTCATCACTAAATAGATCTTCTAAACAAAAATTTAATAAGGAAGCTACAGGACTTAAAAATACAATTAATAATTTAGACTTAATAGACTTACTTAGAGTATTTCATCCATCAATGAATGAAAACCCTTTCTTTTCAGCAACACATGGAATATTTTCTAAATTAGATCACATCACAGGCCACAAAGCAGTTCTTAGCAGGACAATACCCTGCATTCTATCAGATCATAATGGAATGAAATTAAAAATCTACAATAAGGCAAAAAATAAAAACTACTCTAACACGTGGAGACCAAAAAATTCACCATTGAATAAAGACAGCAGAAGAAATCAGGAGTGAATAAAAAATAAAATAAAAATTTTTAAAAAATAAAATAAAAATATAATTTAAAAAATAAAATTAAAAAAATACTTAGAACAAAATTAGAATAGAGATATAACTTATCAAAATCTCTGGGATACTATGAATGTGGTTCTAAGAGGAAAGTTCATTATATTGAGCTCATTCATTAAAAAAACAGAAAAATACCTAATAAATAACCTAACATTACATCTCAAGATCCTATACAAAGAGGAATAAACCAATCCAAAATCAATAGAACACAGGAAATAATTAAAACCAGAGCCAAAATCAATGAAATCAAGATTTTAAAAAAATTTTTTAAATCAATGATACAGCAGCTGGGGTTGTAGCTCAGTGGTAGGGCGCTTGCCTAGCTCGTGTGAGGCACTGAAATCAATCCTCAGCACTAAATAAAAATAAAAAAATAAAGGTTTGTATACATCTACAATTAAAAATATTTTAAAAATTAATGATACAAAAAGTTGGTTCTTTGAAAAAAATTAACAAAATTGATAAATTTACCATTAACCAAACTAACCAAAAGAAAAAGAGAAAAAGCTTAAATTGTTAAAATCTGAGATGAAAAAAGAAATATCACTACAGATACTACTGAAATACAGAGAATAATCAGAAATTATTTTGAAAATGTATACTCTAATAAAATAGAAAATCTTGAAGATATTAACAAATTCCTAGAGACATATGACCTACTCATGTCAAACCAAGAGGGTATAAAAAGTTAAACAAACCTATTTCAAGTAAGAAATTGAAGCAGCCATCAAAAGCCTACCAAAAAGAAAAGCCCCAGATTGTATGAACTCTCAGTAGAGTTCTACCAGACCTTTACAGAAGAATTAATACCAATTCTCTTCAAATTATTCCATGGAATAGAAAAGGAGGGAACTCTTCCAAACACATTCTATGAAGCTAGTATCACTCTCATACCAAAACCAGACAAGGACATATCAAAGAAATAAAACTTCAGACCAATATAATTGATAAACATAGATGCAAAAATTCTTAATAAAAATATTGGCAAATCACATACAAAAACAAATTTAAAAGACAGTGCACCATGATCAAGTGGATTTCATTCCAGGAATACAAGGTTGGTTCAATTTATGGAAATCAATAAATTAACTCATCACATAAATATTTTTAAAAACAAGAATCACATGATTATATCAATAGATGCAGAAAAAGCATTTGACAAATAAAGCTTCCACTCATTTAAAACACTAGGAAAAATAGGGATAGAAGGAACATTCCTCATCACTGTAAAAGTTATTTATGACAAACCCAAGGCAAACATTATTCTAATGGAGAAAAATTAAAAGAATTCTCCATAAAAACAGAACAGTACAAAGATGCCCTGTTTCACCACTTCCATTTCACATAGTCCTTGAAACTCTAGCCAGAGCAATTTGGCAAAAGAAATAAATTAAAGGGATAAAAATAGGAAAAGAAGAGCTCAAAGTATCTCTGTTTGTTGACAAATTAATCCTACAGTTAGAAGACCCAAAAAACTCCATTCAAACCTTCTAGAACTCATAAATTCAGCAATGTAACAGAACATAAAATTAACATCCAGAAATCAACTGTATTCCTATATTGCAATGATAATCAAGCTGAAAAAGAAACTAGGAAAACCATCCCATTCACAATAGCTTCCAAAAAGAAAAATAAAATACTTGTAAATCAATCTAATAAAAGAGGCGAGGGACCTCTACAATGAAAACTACAGAACACTGAAGAAAGAATTAGAGGAGGAACTTAGAAGATGGAAAGACCTCCCATGTTCTTGGATAGGCAGAATTAATATTATCAAAATGGCCATACTACCAAAAGCACTATACAGATTCAATGCAATTCCTATCAACATTCCAATAATGTTCTTCATAGAAATGGAAAAAGCAGTCATGAAATTCATCTGGAAAAATAAGAAACCCAGAATTGCCAAAGCAGCCCATAGTAAGAAAGGTGAAACAGGGTGAATCACAATCCCAGACCTTAAATTATACTACAGAGCTTTAGTAACAGAAAAAGCATGGTATTGGCACCAAAGTAGGCAAGAAGACCAATAGAACAAAATAGAAGAGAGACAAACCCACAAAGATACAGTTACCTCATACTTGATAAAGGGGCCAAAAACAGACATTGGAGAAAAAGCCTCTTCAACAAATGGTGCATGGAAAACTGGCAATCCGTATGTAGTGGAATGAAATTAATCCTTCTCAGCATGCACAAAACTCAATTCAAAGTGGATCAAAGACCTAGAAGTTATACCAGAAACCCCAAACATACTAGAAGAAAATGTAGAAACTGATATCCTTAACAAGATCAAGATCCTAAAGCACAAGAAGTAAAATCAATAATCAATAAATGAGATGGTATCAAATTTGAAAACTTCTTCAGAGCAAAGGAAACAATCAATCAAGAATGTTAAGAGAGAACCTACAGAATGGAAGCTAATCTTTGCCAACTGTACCACAGACAGAGAAATAATTTCTAGGTTATATAAAGAACTCAAAAAATTTAGCACCAAAAATACAAATAACTCAATCAATAAATGGGCAAAGGAACTGAACAGACACTTCACAAAAGAAGAAATATATGAAAATGTTCACTGTCTCTAGCAATTAGAGAAATGCAATAAAACTACACTGAGATTTCATCTCACTCTAGTCAGAATGGCAATTTTCAAGAATAAAGTAACAGTAAATGTTGACAAGGGTGAGGGGGGAAAGGTACACTCATTCATTGCTGGTAGGACTGCAAATTGTTGTAACCACTATGGAAAGCAGAATAGAGATTTCTCAGAAAACTTTGACCATTTGACCCAGTTATCTCACTCCTCAGTAACAGCATACTATAGTGACACAGACACATCAATGTTTATAGCAGCACAATTCACAAAGATACAGTTACCTTATACAATGGAACCAACCTAGGTGTTCTTCAGCAGATGAATGGATAATATGGTATATATACAAAATGTACTATTACTCAGCCATAAAGAAGAATGAAATTATGTCATTTTCCACTAAATGGATGTTACTGGAAACTATCATGTGAGTGAAATAAGTCAATGCTACAAAACCAAAGGCCAAATGTTCTTTCTGTTATGCAGATGATAACACAATAGGGGAGGCAGTAGAGAATAGAAGTTCATTGAATTAGACAAAAGGCAATGAAGAGAAGGGATGGGGGGATGGGAATACGAAAGACAGTAGAATGAATTAGACATAACTTTCCTATGTTCATATATGATACATGACCAGTGAAACTACATTATATACAACCACAAGAATGAGATCCTAATTAGAATTAGTATGTATGTATAATATATCAAAATATACTCTACTGCCATGTATATCTAAAAAAACAAAAAAAAATTTAAAAGACATTGAAAAATACAAAAATGTTCCCAGAATTGTAAGAGTATTTTATAGTTTGGAGAAATGAAACAATTGTTCTATTACTTGTTTTGCTAGTTTTTCCTACCTGTTTTTGATTCTTTACATCTGAAGTATTATTGACATCCTGGATATTTTCCCTGAGCTGGGAACTTTCCAACTTTTCTTGAAGAGATGAGTTATTCTTCTCAGCTGTCTCATCATCTTCATCGGTTTCTGGGTTATTTTTCCATTCTTTCATCATTTCTAATACATTGGTAGGCCTCATTGAAGAATGTGTATTTCCCTAATATAGACAATGAATTTTGGAGTTATAAATAGCTTAGATGATTGAAAAGATTCCTATGTCTTTTAGTATTATATACTCCCAAATAAATGATAGTCACATGGGAAAATTACAATGATGAATAAACACAAACCTTCCGATGTCCAAGGAATCACACTCCCAATCCTGCCATGGCTCACACCTTTTGAATAATATCAGTAATAATATGTCAAAGTTTGAAGTGGAAATATTGTCTTGAAAGAACAATGCAGTATGATTGTGCCAAGGACACTATATAGAGCAATTTCCTGAAAAGCTAAAGACCCCTTTTCTTTGAAACTGATAGGGGGTTGAAAAAAATGAAAGAAGTTGCCCAAAGGTTAGTGGGTCCAGTGCTAATGATAAGTCTATAAAAATGCCTAGGTAAAAACAAAATGTAAATTCCACTGTGTAGTTAAGAAGTATGTCTAAGAATACAGATACTTGATTTGAAAGCTATTGTTTGGAATATTTACATATAATGTGATCATTTTGATTATAATTGTCTAATTGTATTTTTTTAATCACAGATATGACTATATCAGACCCAAACTGACCATTTTGTATTAACTAAACTTTACTGAACATAATATCCCATTTAATATGCCAAGAAATACACGAATACATGTTCAAATGGCTCCTGCTTAATTAGGCAAGTATTGTTTTTTATCCTAGTTCACACTGTTAAAACAAAATTTGAATAAGAAGTTTGGATTGCTTTTTAACTAAAATGACAAGTTCAAGTGTATGCACAGCTATGGGGAAATTCTAAATTAATCTGATGTGTAGGTAGATTGTTAAGCATCTGAATACATTGTTGAGTACATCTGAATATATTGTTAAGGATTTAATGATATTAACTGTATTTATGGTTGAAGACAAACTTTAAGTATGGAATGATAATAATCAGTTGGACTTTCATAATTATTATAAAGTAAGATTTCTCAATGATGATTTGTCAAATGTACTTAATATTAATTCAGCTATATTCAGCTACATTCTGTCTTTCAACATTCCATGCCTTTATGTTTCAAACATGTTTCTTGTAAATAGCCAGATTTTTAAATATTCAATTTGACAATATATCTTTAAACAGATATTTTTGTCCATTTACTTGTAATCATTTCTATATTTGGACTTGTTTCAACCATGTAAATTTATTATTTCAATTCATTCCTCCCATTATATGATTTTAAATTCTTTCCTACTTTAAAAATCTGATATCTATATATTCTCTTTACATGAAAGTGTGCTAAAAGAGAATATGGTTATTTTTTTAGCATTTCATATTCTTGTTTCATATTAGTAATACTTTATTTTCTCTTTCAGTATGTTCATTTTGTTGATTTTTAAATTTGGGGGTTGCCTATTCTAAAGTCTATTAAAAATTTTAAGGTATAAACTAAAAATATCTAGGGAGACTCCCCATTTTTCAAAATTATTTTCAGAAAAACTAAAGCATAAAATTTTGAATAGACTATTCCAAAAAACACATCATTTTCCCCCCAATCTACAAAACCAACAATTCTAAACTTTATTTTACCTTATAGCATTTTCCCAGTCACCTTTTTCTCTCTCACCTAACACTTGTACTTAGTTTCAATTTGTGTTGATTTTCTTTTAATGTCTTATTTCTCTCCTCTTTTCTGTTCCTACTCATCACCCTAGTTCAATCTTCTTTGTCTTAGCCAGTCCTACTTCAGTTCTCCCAGTCCTACTTCAATTCTCCAAATTCTGCTTGCCATCATGAAGATTATATGATACACTGTTGCTAGAAAACTGTTCTTGAAGTTCTGTCTGTTCTGGCCCACAATCCACACACCAACCCACAAATTGAAGGTGTTGACCTATAAAAGTCTCAGGCACGTGCTACTTGTTCCCAAGTTGCTGTTCCAAGTCCCTTATATGGCTCTTAGTTCATCTCCTTACTAAGGACCCTGTTTTCTACTCCTTAACTGTGTGTACATGTTTTTGGCTCCCTGGAGATTTTTCAACTCAAATTTATTCCCAGGGCCCTTCCAGCTTTAAGCTATTTCAGGCAGGAGTTCTTCTCTCATCCTGGAGCCACAGGTATAGCCCACAAGCACCATCCAGGTCCACGCACACTACCCTACAAGGTCTGAAGGACAAAAGAGGAATTCACACAAGCCCAGCTGTGATCATGGTACTTCAGTGACTTGCAGTAGTAAACCACTGCCATATGAGCCAAGTGTAAAATAAAGTCTTAGTCAATGTCCAAGAGCAAAATAGCTCTTTCCTGCTTTTCCAGCTTAACTACTACTCCCCTACATGGTTTCTATAGGTCTAGAAAGAGAAAATTACTAACTAGTCTCTGAATATACTTCATGTTTTTTTTGTCTTTACATAGCTTTTATGAAGTTATTTCCATCTAGAATTCCCCTTCTTCTTATCCTAACTCCAAAACTAATTTCTATGCTTACCTATTTTTTATAGTCAGATCACATATTACCTTCACTTTCAAGCACTTTTTTATAACTCCCTAAAAAGAATAATAGCTCTCTTATTGTAAATTTAGTAGTAGTAGTGCTACATATATATTTGTGTAGATTTATCATCCTCTTCCTGTGGTTTTGTTTTAAACCTTTTACTAAAACTGTGGGCAACCTGACCACAGGGACTGTCCAAACTGATCCTGTGTCCCCCACAGTAAGAAGAAGTAATTCAATAAATATCTGTTGTATTTTTAGTATATATCAGTAATTAAGTATCAAATAAATCTCCAGGTGTCTTGGCTCATGAACTTCTTCCTAACATAATTTTTATAAAAAGCTTCACTGAATATCTACTCAACAGCATATTCATATATATATATTATATATATATATAATATATATATATAATTAAGAATATAATAATAATAATAAGAGTCTGAACACACTTTATAAATCAATGAGCAAGGGCCCTGTTCACACATCAGGAAAGACTATTGTGAAATTCAGCCTGACACCCAATTACAAGTGTCTTTGCAAAATATGACTATAAAGTGCAGAATGGAACTTAATTATTCAAGGAGAGGGACTATTAATCTTTGTACTCTGATAATGTCTGATGGATTAAAATCAAAAGATACTTATTAAAATCAGTATAGACATTTAAATGACTATTGTCCTATTTCAAATAAGTCACCTGTGAGACTGATGCATTATAAAAATAATTTCTTTCATTTCAAAGAGCATACAATTGTTCTTAATTCTAGGAAGAAGCTAAAACTCTTTAACCTGAGATTTAAGCCCCCTCACAATTTTATTTCCTTTTGTAGACTCATTTCCCACTCCTTTCCTTCAAGCATGTTTTCTGTCAATCATACTGAACTTCCTGATTTCACACTTGCTTGCCTCTGTACCTCCAGCCATTTAGCAATTTCTTATGTCATTTATCATTTTCTTCCTTGCATTTTATCTTATGCATAGCCTGTTTTCCTTACAATATTGTAAATTCTTTATGTCTTATATATCTTTAACTACATTTTACTACAAAGCACAGGACCTAACATATGGTAGGCATAAAAAAAGTGTTGAAAGATTTACTTAATCTGTGAATAATAATAAAGCTCAAAACTAGGGACTATCTTATGATAAGGCATAGATTAAAAATAATTTTCTTAACTTATACCAATGGTTTGTAAAATGTAAGCGGGCATAAGAAATTCTTGAGAAACTAGTTTTAAAATATAAATTTTTGGTGTTACCTGTCACCAGAGGATCTGAAGAAATACCAAGATGTCATTGCAACTGTCTAATAAGAAACAATTATCTCCTAAATCACTATTGATGGTAAAGAGGAAAAAAGGAAGAAACAGATACAAGAGACACATAGGACAATAGACACAATCCTGGCAACAGTAGTCATTATCACACTCTTCCTTTGCAGGAGAGGCACTTTTTTTTTTTTTTTTTACTGTTTTTCCTTACATCTAACATTTAATTTTTGAAATCAGAATGAAAACATATATTTACTTTAAAGTCCATTCACTTAAATGTAGATAGAGAAATAATTATTTTTCTCATAATACTTTTCAGATATATAACGTTTTAAAATACACAATATACACAAGTTAAGCCATAGATAATTTTTTGCCTACTACGGTCTTTGAAAAACATGTTGTTAGGTGGTAGGTAGTGCAAAAGACAGTGTAAATAGATTGATTCTAAAGCAGTAAAGCACTGAGAAAATGGTCATGTTTTCTTTTGATTATTTCAAACAGAGGATATGAATTATAGGAAGTAAGACTTCAAGTGGTTAAGAAGAATAGTTTTGTCTTTTAGAAGTTTGTAAAATGCCAGTATTCTAAATTTCATACACTGAACTCCTCACTATAGTCCAATATAGTACACAATATCTGTCACTTCTCTATCCATTTGGCAAAGACTTCATAGAGACAAATGTTACGGAGGATCAAAAATGGAGACTTCTGGAAAAATGACCAAAGCCAGAAATAAAGTTATACTAATTAGAAAACAAATAATTAAATGGCCAAACCCGAATGTTGTGCAGTGCAGAGAAGAGATAAATTTTTAAGACACGCCATCTGTTTTACAACTTTATTTTCCTTTACTACTAAATCTACTCAGCACATTTTTGCAATGATCTATCTAGTTGCAAACTCATTTGCACAATTACTGTAGGCCAAAAATAATTACTGTACAGAATCCTATGAGATATCAGCATATTCACAAAAAAGGGCAGATATAATTCATTTTTGAGTGAAGACTATTTTTTTTAGCCTTTAAAGAAAAATATGATATTCAAAGAAATGATCAAAAATTGTCAAAGGAAAATTAGATAATTTAAAACAGTAATACACTGTATGTTTACAGAACCTAAACTTATCTGGATCTTTTCTAAATGTTGTAGTGTTTAAAAGCATGTTGCTAGGGCCTCTTCTCTCTATCTGTATTTTATCTCTTCAGACCAATGGCTTAACATGGCATCTACATACTCATGATTCTCAAATTTACATC